AAAATAATAAAAAAAATTACTCCATATATACCAAATAATTTTATTATCTTAAGAGTTGTTTGACCAAAAGAAACCATGTCTCCGATCCCTATGATGCCTTGTTGTTATACATTTGATTAGTTTTTCTTGTTATTTTGGTTCCTAAACGTTAAAATTTTTACAATGATAAACATTTAATCCTTTCAATCCATATTACTCCATCCGTTCTCAATTAAATTATCCTATTTTGGGATAAAAATATCGAGTTTAATTCTAATACGTCTCTATATTTTATTTCTATTTGAAGAGATTTTTTAATGTTAAACTCCTATTCCAGTTCTTTTTTAATTCGGCTTAATTTACGTATATTTTGGTTCGACGAACGTATTTCAAATGAAAAAAACTACTCCCTCCATCCCTGAAAACCTTTCTCCTTTCTTTTTTCATCCGTCCCAAAAAACACTTTTTATTTTTATTAAAAAGTCACTTTTACCCCTTACTTTTTCATACCCTACCTATCACATCATACCTTTTTACTAATAATCTACCCATCAAATCCTACTTTTACTTGTCACACATCAAAGAATATTTTTGGAAATTCAATACCAAAATACACTCTCCTTAATAAATCTCTTCAAAATCAAAACATCCCATGTTTAAAGGGACGGAAGGAGTACAAAATACTGAGTACTAATTTCCAAATTTAATGAGAGGTGATTTGTCTAAACATGTCAACGACTACTGGTCTAAAGAAAACAAGAAATGTCTACTTTAATTTGTTTTCCCCTCAACGAAATCCTTATTATACAATAATGTCCATATATGTAACATGTAATCCTACTGAAATCTAAGTTTAAGTCAAAACACCAATTGAGAAAATAAATAGCTTTTATTTATTTACTCGTTTTCGGTAACTATTGGATAAAATAAAGTATTCTTGTCGCATTTTGTTTTGTAGAGCTTTTGATGTACTTTTGAATGGTATGATTTGTATTTTTTATTGCTTTACTAATTTGTAAATAAAATAAATTTAAAAAAAGACGATATTTTGCATGTTGCTCAAAATGTGGTGTACATGTTAGGACGGAGGGAGTAGAAAAAAGAATAAATATTATCACGAACTTAATCATTTGATTATTATTATTATTATTATTATCATTGGGAGACAAATTAAAGGAGAATTAAATCAAAATGTTTCTGCCGCTAATAAAATTAAGTCATCAAATCCATCAAGTATATAGAAAATTTTCTTTTTTTAAAGTTTTTAAAGCCTTTTGATGACATACAATTTATTCGGTCTGCATTTCACGTGTAGATCTTGGATCACAGAAAAATAACTCTTTCCACTTACTACATAATTATCAGTGAAGTCTGTGGCATTTTAGTGATATGTACTCTCTATGTCCCATTTTAAATCACCTATTTTGACTTTTGGACATATTTAAGGAAAAGAAAAAATAGAGTTAATTTTCCGAAATTGTCATTACTTTTTAGGAGGGGTGACGATGAATGAGAAAATAAGGTGGAGAAGAGTGACTTGTTTTAAGGGTAGTTTACGTATTTTACTCCTAAAAGCTTAAGATAACAAGTAACAGACAACTTATTTTGGGACAAAGAAAAAATGCAAACAGACAATTTAAAATGGGACAGAGGGAGTAGTAGTCACTAGCATTGTTCTAAATACACATTCTATGATTAAGAATCATCCACATTTAAATATACGGAGCATTAAAAAAATTAATGAGATTGTTAAGTACGTATAATCGAGATTAATTTTACAAAAATTTGAGATAGTGACATTGGATGTGATTAAGATAGTTAAGTGGCATATATGTTGTATTGGGTCAAATAATAGAAAAGAGCAACACGAGTACTATATATGTGTGTGTGTGTGTGTGTGTAATTGCTTCTTTTGTTTAAAAATGTCATATGCATGCCACCTTAATACACACACTTCAACTGATTTAATTATTGAATTTGATTAATTGTATATATAATTTTACATAAAACCACTAATAATGAGTCTAGTCGCTACTCTTACGAATAATTAATTCTCTTATAACGGGTAAAAAAAAGTATTCCTGATTTAGTTTTTCATAATGTTTAAAAAAAATTGTTTGGTTCTAAATGATGCATGGAGAAGATCGAGAGAAAGATGATTAAATTACTTTTTTTTTCACCTTCACTGCTCTACGGAAAACGTGACAAAACCCTAAGCTAATGGAAGAAAATGAGTAACCTCTTGTCGAGACTTGACTTTCTAAGCTATAAGTGAATCTATACATAACTGAATTTGAGTTCCTTTAATATAGTTATTAATATAAGATGGAGTTTTAAGTGTTACATCCCAACAAGTTGTCCACTTGTCCCTTTCATCCTCACCCCTTAAATTCATCCACACAAAAAAAAAACCACACATTTCAATCAGCTTCTACTTGGCCAACTTTAGTTCATTTTGCTCCCTCTTCTCTACCATACATTTACATATACAAAACTAACTAGCTAGCTAGCTAGCATTAGCTTTGTAAGGTTAGGTTATTCAACATCGACATGGAAGTCGAGAAACAAACGAGCAATGGCACCGGTGCGCCGAGCTACGAACCCAGCAGTCAGAGGGACGATGGCCTGATGGGCCCTAGTCGGTCGTACGAGTGTACTTTTTGCAAGGGAGGGTTCACCAACGCTCAAGCGCTTGGAGGCCACATGAACATTCATAGAAAGGATAGGTTGAAAGTCGCCTCCAAGCAGCAGAAGAAGAGCAACGGCAGCAACTATCACCAAGAAACTTCTTTCCCGAGAAAATCAAACGAAGACCATTACGGGACAATTCATGAACAACCATTTCATGAAGCGTACTATAATAATAATGACCAGTTTCATTATTATGTACCACCACCACCATCAAACCCTGGATACCAACAAATGCATCGGAACCAATATCATATGAGGTACGAGGGTGATTTTATGGGAGCTAGTGATCTTAGCTTAAGAGTGGGTCCCACAGACACCACCGAAGGAGAAGGAGGAAGAGGAGAATGGAACGGAGGAAACGAGAAGATCGACTTGGAGCTCCGTCTGGGGTATCACAATTAAGTACTACTAATCGTAGCAGGGGTGTAACTTTGACGGCAAGGAAGAGATGCATGCAAAAGAGTATAATGCCAGACCAGATTTGACTCATCATGCATAATAGCATGTAGTCTTTAATTTGTTGCACGTAACACCAACATATATATCTCCCTCTATATTTGTGAGACAATAATATATATAGCTTAATTTATATCCTATCTCTTTAATAATTAAGTATTCGGCCTATCGAGAAATCCAGGACGGACTATATGGATAGAATTTATCCTTTTTACAAGTACTACTAAAAATAAATCAATCTTCAAATACAATGTAACCTTCTTTTTTTTTCTTTTGGAATATATAAAATTATGAGATTGCATTATAGTCCCTATGTCTCACAAAATACCCATATTTTTATTTCTTCTTTTTCCGTTTTACAAATTTTATTTAATCTTTTGTTAAAACTACATACTCCCTCCGTCCCCCTAAGATGTTCTCATTTTGACTTTTGGTAGTTTTTAAGGAGAGTTGAAAAAAGGTGAAAGTTTACCATAATACCCTTAATGAAAAATGGGTGGAGTGTATTAAATGAGGTGGGTGAGGTGTAATAAATAAAGTAAGTTGGGGTAGTTGTGGTATTTTAATTGTTAAAAAATGAAATAAGAAGATCTATTGTGGACAAAGAAAAAGGGCTATTGGAAAGATCTATTGGGGACGGAGGAAGTATATACAAATTTTCTTAAATTTTTTGATACAAAAATGTTTTTATTAGATTTATTATATCAAATATTTTCAAAATATTATTTTATCCAATTAATATATAATATACGGAGTATATTTTATTTAATTATAGGTCAAAGGTTAAAAATTATTGACCAAAACAAGTTAAAACTAGACAAATACTCTGGGACGAGATAGTACATTCAATTTTTTTTGAGCATATACAGTCACTAACTTTTATATATCTTCATCATGTGTTCAATGATAGGGAACAATAGGTAACAAAAATACCATTTTGTATCAAAAAACACTCATTTACTTTTATCTTCAATTATGTGTTAACGATACCCGACAAAATGTTGCTTAAGTACGTAACAAAATTAGTTATATTAATGCCCCATTTGAAACATTTACAACTCCGAGTGTCCCCAGCACATAACAGACCAAATACTACGTACCAAACTATTCTCTAAAGTGAAACCATTCTTTTATGTATGAATTAACTTAGATCCCGTTTGGTACACGGAATTCAAATTATAGAATTGGAATTGAGGACTTCAATTCCAATTTTGGTGTTTGGTAGCACAAAAATTATGTGGATTTAGAATTGGTAGTGCAAAAAATGAATTGGAATTGATGAATTCAATTCTATGAAATTGAATCCCATGGAATTTAAATTCAATTCAATTCCAATTCCATCAATTCCGTATACCAAACGGACCTTTAGGGTAGACCAACATGGGGTACTTCATATGTATACTAACTTAACACAGACACAAAATGTCTGTGTTGCACAGACATTTTGTATCTGTGTGTTTGTGTTGGTTTAGTATACATATGGGGTATTCCATGTTGGTGTACCCCTAGCATTGCTCTTTATGTATATATACGTTAATATACTTGTTAGAATAATAATAATAGTAATTCCTATTTGTGGTAGAAGTAGTGTTTTAGTCAGTTTCCTTTATTATTGGTTCCTATGTGTGTTAGGAATCATATCTATATATATGGCTTGTACATCTTGATTATTACTTGATTAATACAATTATTTCATTCTTCCAATATGGTATCAGAGCTTGAGATCATTTCTCTATTCTTTTCACATTAAAAAAAAAGACAAAACAAACAAAACAAATTCTGCAGATCACTTGGCCGAAGAAAGAAAAAGGGCCGCCGATCGTCTTGCCAAATCGATCGCCGTCTTCACCCACATCGTCTCCTTTCTTGGTCGGTCGCCCCTCTATACTCTTCTGCAGATCTCTGTTGCTCGATCCAAAAGATCGGATTTCACCGCTACAGCGCCTCCATCTTCCCCGTTCGTCGGCTCTATTCGCTGTTTTGCCGACCGGCGTTTCGCAGATCGGATAGCACAGCATCAAGTTTTTGTTTCCTATCAAGGCTCTAGGTTTTGTTTCTTCTCTGCCAAAAAAAAAGACACAGATCCGAGCATTAATTATCATGTCAGTCGCCAAAGATCCCTTTGATGCGCTCCCAGGGGGGCTGCGATTGTTCTTACGCAATCTTCATTCCCTGGTTCCGGTAAAACTAGAGGACAATAATTATCCCTCTTGGTCCTCTACAGTTAAGGCTACGTTGATTGCACATCGTCTACTCGGTTACATTGACGGCACAGAGCATGTACCACTGCCAACCATTGTTGATGAGAAAGCTTCATCTGCTACCGACAAAGAACCTGTTATGAAGGTCAGTCCTGCCTATGATCAATGGACTATTATTGATGCCCAATTGCGGGCTTCTCTTCTTGCTCTTCTCTCTCCATCGATTCAGAATCTGGTCCACCAGTGTCCAACGGCTGCTGACCTTTGGGATAAACTTCACCAGAGGTATAATTCCCTATCCCGCACGCATATTTTTCAACTTAAGGATCAGCTTCACAATCTGCGAAAAGGACAATCCACAATGCAAATATACTTGGATGATGTTCTTAAAATTGTTACTGCCCTGGCTTTGGCACGAGAACCTATCCCCGAGCAGGATATTATTCTCAATGTCTTACGCGGTCTTCCTCAAGAATATGGCCCTATTAAACAGAATATTCGTTCTAATCTTGTGGCTCTCACTTTCAACGAAGTCTCTGCCTTGTTACTCTCCGAGGAATTGAATCTCCAACTTGCAGCTTGGTGCACCTTCTACGTCCACGACTGATATTCACACAGCCCTTTACGCCTCGAATGGGCGAGGCGACCGTGGGCGTGGTCGTGGCAGAGGCAGGTTTACCGGGGGACGAGGGGCTGGTCGCTTCGGACAGGGCGGACGGCTGCCACAAGACCGCTCCAATGGTCGTGGTCGTGGACTGCAACGTGACTCCTCTCTTGTATGTCAAATTTGTGGAAAAGCAAATCATGGCGCATGGCAATGTTGGAATCGCTTCAATGAGGAGTATTCTGGTCCACCACGACAGCATCATAACACTCAGGCTTTGTATACTAATTACTCCACTGATTCTAATCAGAACTGGCACCTTGACTCTGGCGCTAGTACTCATGTGACATCTGATTTATCAAGGTTGAATAATCCAACTCCATATCATGGTCCCAATTCAGTTACTACGGCTGGAGGTCAGTCTTTACCAATCTCTCATGTTGGCTCAGGTCAGGTCTATACACCTACAGGTACCTTCACTATATCCAATCTATTACATGTCCCCGACTTAAACACCCATCTTTTATCTGTGCACCAGTTTACCACTGATAATAACTGTTCTCTTCTCTTTACTTCTAAGGAATTTATGATCCTGGACAACCACACCAATACAGTGACATACAGAGGCCCATGTGAGCGTGGACTATACACCCTTCCAGCCAAACTTGTCTCGAGTATCGCTCCACTGGTGGCTAATTCCATAAAGACAACCTCTCACCAGTGGCACTGTCGTCTTGGTCATCCATCTTTTCAAGTCACAAGATTACTTTTTTCTCAACTAGGTCTTTCTTTTTCATCAAATGTTGTTCATTGTGATTCTTGTTCTATGTCCAAGTCTCATAAGTTACCTTTTGTTTTATCTAGTACTGTAACTAGTGCACCATTTCAATTAATACACTCTGATGTTTGGGGTCCTACCTCTGTTTCTTCCTTTGGTGGTTACCATTTTTATATTAACTTTGTGGATGATTTTACAAAATTCTGTTGGCTTTATCCTCTTCAACATAAATCTGAGGCTTTTGGTGCTTTTCAAAGTTTTCAATCTATGGTCAAAAATCAATTTGGAAAAGACATTAACTTATTCCGCACTGATAATGGGCGTGAGTATGTTAACCACAAATTTGGCCTTTTCTTACAAGAATTGGGGGTTCTTCACCAAAAGTCTTGTCCCTACACGCCTGAGCAAAATGGGGTTGCTGAGCGCAAACATAGACACTTGATTGAAACGGTTGTGACCCTTCTTTACACCGCGTCTCTCCCTGCTACCTTCTGGGTTGAAGCACTCTCCACTGCCAATTATCTTATTAACCGCATGCCAAAGAGCTCTCTCCATAATAAATCCCCTTATGAAGTCTTATATAATCATCCACCTGATTACTCCCATTTACGTGTCTTCGGGTGTCTTGTTTACCCTCATCTACGCCATGAAATTAATCATAAACTTCAACCTCGTTCCAAGCGGTGTATATTCTTAGGATATGAACATCTCTCCAAAGGATACCGCTGTTACGATCCCTCTACCAATCGTGTCTATGTTTCTCGTCATGTTCAGTTTAACGAGTCTGAGTTTCCCTATAAAATGTCATCTCCTCCATCTACGTCGTCTTCCTACTTTGGTGTTTTACCTCTATTTCCCACACTCCCCACTTCTCCACCTCGTCCCGCTCACATGGATCACTCGTCACCAACCCAGCCTACCACGCCCCAAGGCCAAACTCCCACACCCACCTTAGCACCGACCCATGACACCTTACACAGCCCCATACCCGATAAGTCCCCATCCCAATCCGAAACTTCCCCAACCCCCGCATCCCCAGCCGAATCCTCCCAAGCCACAACCTTCCCCACACCAACACCTCTTGTCCAACCCCCACCACCACGCCCCACTCACCCTATGACTACCCGTGCAAAAAGTGGCATCTTTAAGCCCAAACTTTACCATACTGTCATTCATACCACCCCTCCTGTCACTGAGCCCAACACTTTTAAAGAGGCCTCTAGTAATGTCTTTTGGCGCCAAGCAATGGATGAGGAGTATTCCGCCTTGATCAAACAGAACACATGGGTACTTGTTCCACGGCCTTTGGGTCGGGCTCCGATCGGATGTAAGTGGGTGTACAAAATCAAACGCAATGCTGATGGCTCTGTCTCGCGCTACAAGGCGCGACTTGTGGCAAAGGGATATAATCAGGAATATGGTCTTGACTACTCTGAGACATTCAGTCCTGTTGTCAAACAACAGACTATTCACATAATTTTTACTCTTGCACTCACATATAATTGGCAGCTTACTCAGTTGGACGTCTCCAACGCTTTTTTACATGGGGAAGTTGATGCAGATATTTATATGACTCAGCCACCAGGCTATGTGGACTCCAGATTCCCTCGACATGTCTGCAAACTCACCAAGTCTCTCTATGGCTTGAAACAGGCTCCTCGCTCATGGTATCATCGGTTTTCTACGTTCCTCTTTGCGTATGGTTTTCGGAAAAATGCACATGACACTAGTCTCTTTATCAAGCATGGGACTACTGGTACTCTTATCTTGTTGCTCTATGTTGATGATGTGATTGTTACTGGCAGCTCCTCTACTCTTATTCGACAGTTTACTTCTCATATGTGTCAGGAATTCCAGACAAAAGATCTTGGCCCGCTACATTATTTTTTAGGCCTTGAGGTAACCCGCAATCCTACTTCTCTTGTTATTTCACAGCGGAAATATGCTGGTGAGCTTCTTCATCGCGCGGGCATGGATGATTGTCACCCGACGGTCACTCCTCTGTCAGTTCGGCCTGCCGACGTCGGAGAAAGGGGGGATCAACTCTTCCACAATCCCACTCTCTTTCGCAGCCTTGTTGGAGGCCTCCAGTATTTGACTACTACTCGCCCTGATATCCAGTTTGCTGTTAATTATGTTTGCCAGCGTATGCATGCACCTACGGAGAATGACTTTCAGAGTTTAAAAAGAATTCTGCGCTTTATAAAGGGAACCCTTAATCATGGACTTGTATTCCGGGCCAGTGATTTGAAGTTACGGGCTTACTCTGACTCTGATTGGGCAAATGATATGACTGATGGACGTTCAGTTACTGGCTACTTGATTTATCTTGGACCAAATCTGATTTCATGGAGCACAGAGAAGCAACAACGTGTGTCCAAGTCCTCTACTGAGGCGGAATATCGTGCTCTATCGTCTGCCGCCTCCGAAGTTATGTGGGTGACCTATATTCTCACTGATCTGCGTATTCCTCTCTTCACGCCACAACTCTACTGTGACAACCAGTCTGCCATTTGTCTCACAAAGAACCCCGTATTTCACAAGCGTATGAAACATGTAGGAACCGACTGCCACTTTGTTCGTGAACAAGTTATTGCTGGGAATATGCATGTTTCTCATGTTTTCTCTGAAGATCAGCTTGCAGATTTACTCACAAAAGCTCTACCGGCTCCTCGGTTCCAGTCTCTCGCTTCCAAGCTTCCACTCGTACAAAGTCGTTCAGCTTGAGGGGGGATGTTAGAATAATAATAATAGTAATTCCTATTTGTGGTAGAAGTAGTGTTTTAGTCAGTTTCCTTTATTATTGGTTCCTATGTGTGTTAGGAATCATATCTATATATATGGCTTGTACATCTTGATTATTACTTGATTAATACAATTATTTCATTCTTCCAATAATACTCAATTCGATTTTATCACAAAATAAAGAAAAAAGCATAATATCACACAAAATTTTCTGTTTTCTTCTTATTTATTATTAGCAAAGACCTACAATAATATATAATGGGAAACTAGAGCCCTTTAAAAAAGGGTAGAAGGGAAATTGTTGCATGCTCAAGGGACAAAGAACACTTTTACTGCAAATTATTGAATGCCCGGTTGAAAATTATAGGGAGAACATTGGAATTTCTATTAGCCATTATGATTCAAATAATGTTATTTTAATTTGTTGAAATGATGATCGCCCCTAAAATCCAGTTGGATGATAGACCAGTGAGAAAAAAGTTTGAAGGTTAAACTTTTATACTAGCTAGGGGTGAGCACGTACCGAACCAATACCGAAATTTCCCGAAAAACCCGAGATTACCGAACCGAAAAATACCGAACCGATAAAATATCGAAAAAGAACCGTACCATACCGAACCGAATGATCGGTACGGTATTTGGGATTGGTACGAGGCAACTTCCCATACCGAAAAATCCCGAACCGAACATATATACAAATACGTTCTAAAAATAACAATGTTTTTATATTTCTTCATTCAAAAATAAATTGATTTCAAAAAGTTGGTTCAAGTGTAGATGAATTACAAATAATCTTTTATTTATATAATCATTTATTTGAATTTTATTTTGTAGATTTATATAACAAAATTTAACAAATACTCTTGTTAAATTTGAAATATTATTTTCTTATCATTCATTCTCTTTTGTTTGTAAAATATGAAGTATAGATTAAACTAAGTTTTATACTCCCTCCGTCCTAAAACTTTCTTCCCAGAGCACTATTCCAACTTCACGGGAATTTATATTTATTTGTGTTTTTTCATGGCCTATATGATAAAATAAAATATTCTTGTCACCACTTGTTTTGTTGAACTTTTGATGTAGTTTTTAAATATGTATGTTTTATTTTTTATTTCTATACCAATGTTTAAATAAAATAGATTGAAAAAACTTGGGATTTTTATTCATTTTGCGCAACGGGAAAAAAGTTTTAGGACGGAGGGAATAAGTATTTTTGCATTTAACTATTCATTTTACAATTGTTTATCTTACTTTTATTTGAATGTACTTTCTATTTTTTTTGAATAAAAAGTTTTTACATTCGAAAGTATAAACTAGGTAAGTATATATATTCGTCCCAATATTTACCGAAACCAACACCGAACCATCCTGAACCATACCGAATCGATATTTCGGGATCGGGATCGGTACGATGTAAAATCCCATACCGAACCGATATATTTGGTACGGTATCGGTATGGACTAAATACCGTATCATACCGTATCATGCTCACCCCTAATACTAGCTGCAAGTCGTCTCATCGCATTGCGGCCCCACCATAGAAACTCCGACTTTCGGTTTGGACTTACGGATTGGTATACACTGCTTGTTCCAACACGAGCAGAGTGGGGAGTTTTCTTGGAGATTGACATGTGACATGCAACATAATAATAATAATAATAATAATAATAATAATAATAATAATAATAATAATAATAATAATAATAATAATAATAATAATAATAATAATAATAATAACAACAACAACAACACCAACAACAACAACAACAACAAACAACATATTGTTTTCCTCAATAGAAAAACAAGGAAATTAAAATTTTATCTTTATACAACATAAAATGGAAAGTGTTAACTCATTCAAGGAATATTGTTTTCCTCAATAGAAAAACAAGGAAATTAAAATTTTATATTTATACTACACAAAATGGAAAGTGTTAACTCATTCAAGGAATATATGGCACATATTTGTCTACTATTTGGGCTGAGGCAATTTAAGCTCATTCATATTCTGGGCCTATATGCGTATTTTCATTAATTTCACATTTGGGCCGATTGGAACTTTGGGTCGTAGCTATTATTCCGAAAAAGAATTATTCCCACACTAGGAGAATTATTTTCAGATGGTCAAACTTAAACTTTGTATCTCATACATTTTCATTGATATTTTGTTCCTAGAAATTTACTTAAATTGTACAAAAACATAGTAACTTTCATAATGTAGTACCATATGTTTTTAGTTCTCGATGTAGTACCACCGGTCGATACCCACTAATCATTGTTCAAGCAAATGTCCACCGATATTGGACATTGTTCAAACTGAATGTCCA